CATCCAATGTGTTCAAATTCATTTTGATTTAGATTGATTTCAACCRAAACCCGGTTCATTGACATATATTCTTATCTTATACCAATCGACCAGATATTGGCTTAATCCAACCCAATCCAATATAAATTTGTTATGGACGGACCAAGTTCAGTCCAGTCTAACAAATATTTTGGACCAGATTGGTTCAATCCAATATGTCTTGTTGGTCCATCCAATCCATCCAAATTGATTTTGGACTAGATGGGGTCCAATCCAAAACCAGTCCATTGACACCCTTAGGTCTGAAGCCTTAGATCCAATGCATAGGATTGGGCTTGGGTTAAACTTAAATTCAACCCAACCTACTTGACTTGCACCATAATGGTCCAACCGTTTCGGTAAATGGGTTAATCAATGGTGTCATAATTAAATAATAAAAATTTAAAAAATAGATAAAAACACAAAAAATTAAAAGAGTACATAAAATTTATCTAAGATATTATAAACTTATCATATCAAACAAAAATAAGTGTGATAAACAAGAATTATTTTTCAAATTAATTATGTAAATGAAATAAAAAATTTAAAAGCTGCCCAAAAATGAGATTGCTTTTTTCAAGTCAAATATAATAGCACATATGATGTCATAATTATATAATTAAAAATCAAAAACAGATAGAAATAAAAAAATATATAGAAAACAGAAACATTTATCTTATGCACATCTCTAATATTGTATATTTACTGTATTAAATAAAAACAAATACGATAAATAAGAAATATTTTTATTAACAATGAAAGTAAAATATAAAATCTAAATCCAACAAAACTGTATACTTGATATTTATCCAACAACGCGCAACCATATTTACTAGTATCTTATATATGAAAAATACTTACGTGCACAAGTATATAGTACATGGTCTTTACAATAGTAAAAATAAAAATAAAAACTCCTTATGTTGACAAAATAGATGTACCATCTTTTGGTGTTTTTGCTATCTGTTTGTCGGGTTTCCTTTCTTTTTTGTTTTTATGTCAACGATTTGTAATTACCAATTTATAAAATTATAATCATGTCATATATATATATATATATAACCATTTCATATAAACCATAGGGCTCCCATATATTTAACTCCATAGCTTTGTAATCATTTCCTCAATTACCTTGACTGTAAATTGTTAGTTATTTTTTTTCATTAACCATACAAGGTAAATTAATGGTTTGCCAACAAATTAAAATAAAATATAATTGATATGGTTTTCTAATATACAGGAATGTCAGACATAGGCTCAATTGTGGAAATTTACCGTAGTTAATTACACAGTTTCTATGTTCGTCTATTGAGAACTTTGACTTAAAAGAAAAAAAAAAAAACAAAAAGATAAAGAACGTTTTCTTTTTTTTTATCTAAATTCATCACTAAAAGGTTCCTAAATTGTCTTAACGAGCATAGAATGTTCTTACATTTTAACTGTTTTTCTCCTTATGAATTTCAAAACAAAATAAAGTCAGCTGGTTTGAAAACAAATTGGTTTTTTAAGGGGGTGTTCAACAGTATGGTTTGGCTTTGGAGTCCAAATCTCTTGCCTGCGTTTGCCCACATAACACCGCAGCCACATATGGAGAATATCTCATCCTCCTGCTTAGTATTATACAGGGGGAGATGTTCCCAATTCACGGGGATAGTGTATTGTGAGTAGATGTAGACAGAGTTCTCGTTAGCAGGAGATACAGCGTCTTGGTTTTGCTTTTTAAAATGAAAACAACTGCCATATCATAAAAAACAATACAATTTTGCTGATGTAACAATTGTTTTTGTTTTGAAAAACAAAAGCATACATGTTGTCAAATACGCCTAAATAAAAATACAGAAAACATTTTCTTGATTATATATGTGTTTTTTGTTTTCAAAGTAAAATAAAAAACATGATCTTGAATTTCTAGTTTAAAGAACATGTTTTCTTCTGATTATTTAATATCACGCTTCATAAATCATATAATTACTAATACTACAAAATCATTATTTTGATAGTTTCAAAAATATTGCTTTCTGAAACAAAACTTTAGCTTTTCAAAACAAAATTTATCTTAAAACACAATTTAATAATGCCCCCCTTTTTTATGCTGAGGTGACAATTTCAAAAATAAATGAAACCAAAATACCCCTTTAATTAGCATTTAAAACATTGAATATGTTTCTTAAAATCAGATAACCATATTGTTTAACCTGTTTAGTGGTTACTGGACTTTCTTTAACCCCAACACAGGGGAGGACATAGCCTACCTTGACCCAAACGCACATATTAAGAGATCACTCCCTTGTTCTTTCTGACCCGCATATTCAGCTTTAGGGTTTTGATTCCCCACCCCCTTTTTTTTTATTTCTAACTTTATGGTCTTAAAGTTTAGGATTTCTTTATATATTGATTTTGGTTTTTAAATGGAAAAAGTGACACTTATAATCTATAATACAAATTCCTAACTTAAGCCAAAACCGACCCATTGACATCCCTAGTAGGAAAGGTTGACCCAGTGACCTAAATGGTTGAACCGATAAACCACCCAAGTAGAAGGAAAAGTAGTACAGTGTGTACCAATCCTGAATGGAACAAAATCATAGACTCAGTAATCAGGATAATCAAGTCTGACCCAATTATACTAACATCTATAATTGTCTATATAAATAACAAGTTAAAGCTCCAATTTTTGATAATATAGCCTTAATAAAAATAGCATTATAATCGTTTATTGTTTATATGTTAATAAGTCAAATGTTTTTAACCAAAATTATCTAATAGATTGTCTATTGAATCCTTTTAAACATAAAATATAATAAAAATTACAAAATAACTAGGAAACCTTTATGTATTATTAACTTAATAATCACAAAGGTGTCAACTAGCTGGTTGGTAAGGTCTCCTGCTATTTGTAGTGGAGACCTAGGATGAATCCCGCCAGAACCAAGGTTAAGGGGTTTATGGGTTATGGGTTCAAAACAACAAGAACCACTCCCGACCCAATTATTAATCCAGACAAAATCACAGAGAAAGAACCACTATAGTCGACCCAGTCTAGTTTGACAACCATACTCCAGGCTTAGTTTTAAAGCAATGATTTAACCAACTTACAACTATAATAGAGCACATTAAGGCACTGTTTATTTGTAGTGCAAATTGGAACCAGATAAAAATTTTGCATCTGATTCAGTTTTGCATCCATTTGTTTGTAATTATGATTGTATTCCTACATGACACAAAATGTGTACTTTTTGTCTTGTTTGTACTCACTAGCAATGCAAATTTGGCATCCCAAAAACTGGTGAAAAATTTTCACCACATTTCTTTTAAATCAATTCTCCCCATTCAAAGTGGAAACAACATTTTTCTTCTTCACCCCTAAACAAATAACCCTCTTATTTCCATACTGTTTTCATATAAGGTGCAGACCACATCATTTTATTTCTCATAAACAAATAAGACAGTCAAACCTAAAGCAAAAGTAAAACAGAATTTACACTACCCCTATTTGAACTTCGATGCATTTACATTAATACAAATGAAATTGGAACTGCAAACAAACTGAGCCTTAAGAAAATGGAACTTATACCACATGCTTGCAACATGTTACTGAAATCTCTACAAAAAGGACTGCAACTGAATTTAATTCAGGCCCAACATCAAATGAACCGGACCTCGGGTCCAATGCCAAATCCTAGTTAGAGGGTCATCTTTGTTGTGTTGATGTAACCTTAGCTCTTATTCACATTCTCAATCCAAATGAAGTGAAGTTCCCATTCTCTTAGTATCCATTAGGGCCCACTCATTTTTCSGACTTTGAAAGGGAAAATCAATGGGATTTTGGTTCTCATTGACCAAGATACCCATGTTCATTTTTTCAGATTTACATGGGATTCATAGAAAATCATTTTCCTTGCATATCTCTTAGGAGGGTAAATAATTTTTCCACTTGGAGGAAAAATTGCCAACACTAGGATGAGACAAAATTGCCCTTTTAAATAATGACTTTATAGTTAAAACAATCATTATCATACACTTGGATGAAACAAAATTGCCCCTTTTAATAATGACCTTTTATAGCTGAAACGGTCATTGTCATATTTACCCAGAAAGTAAAAAAAATGTAGGTAACACACTTACCCAGGTAAGTGTTTTCCAGTTCATTTACCCAAATAACTTCCTGAAAAACAAACAGGGCCTTGATGTCCAAGCTTAACAACTTTTCTTCCAAAGAGTGAAAACTCTGATCAAGAAATAAGAATGAAAAACCTGAGCAGAAAGAATGTGAGTGAGACGGTGACGATTAATAAGATACCCAATGGATCAATATTTTCTTCAACTAGGCAAATAACATTAGATACAATTAGGCTTTGCTTTTGCTAACCGTTCAAACTGAAGGGATGATCCATGTAGTGTTTTGTTCTCAATTTGTTTACCGATTAATATGCATTTGTTAATTTGTCTAGTACTAAGGGTGTTTCTTGGTCAAATTTGCTTCGATTTCTAAATCACAGACCAAATCAATAAATTACGGTTTAAAATTATCAAATCAAACTGAACTAAACCATTTTATTATGGTTTGATTTGATTTCTAATACAATTTGGGTCATTCTATTAGGCTTAACCCAATTAGAAAGCTAAAGTAACATGTATACCTACATAAATAACAAGTATAATTCAAATATCAAATTGAAACGTTAACATATGAGATATTAAATGAATATATAAATACTTACAATTGTTTAGACATGTATATTATATTATTACATACATTAATAATGCGGTTTGTTTGGTATGAATTTTAATAAAATTGAAAAGAAAAAAGAAAACAACAAACTAAACCAAAAAATTACAATTGAAAATCCTCAGACGAAACCAAACCAAATCACCAACTACGGTTTGGTGCGGTGCGATTTGATAGTCTAGACCATGCAATGAACACCCCTATTAGTATGGGACTAACGTTGGCCTGGATCGGCTGTCTGAACATTTTCCAATGTTGAAAGTTCCCAACTGGTCAGAACTTCACACGGTTCTTTTTTAGAATAAAATAACTTGTATATTAACAGAAGGAGACGTCAGGACAAGGATCATTCACCATCCTGGATGGTGAACTACTGGACTATGCCATCACAACGTACGCTCATCAAAAAAACATTATGCCTGCTCAGATACTCAAGAGCAGCTCAATTAAACCTTCTATTAATACAAGTAAATGCAATATTGTTAAACCTAGAAATAATAAACTTACTGTCATCCAAAAACGTAAGCATTCCCAAGAATGCAATCGCCATAATCAACRTCAAGGAACCTGATTGAATATCACAAGTTCCTCCAACCCTGCTCCGACGCGAAGTATAGCTGACAAAATAACATCTAGCTCCATCTGCAGAATTCCTTGCTTTACTTTCTTTGGTTCACCTGCAGCAGCAACAACAAAAGCTCCTGAATTAGTAAATCTTACAAAACCATAGGCCCTTTCCTCGTTATTCTTCATTACCTCCACACTGGATTTTGAAAAAAAAATGACATGGGAGGAGATAGATTGTTTCCATTTAGAGGAGGCTGAAAATGATTTCAGGAGAGCTCAAATATTAATATTGTACCACAATATCAATTACTAGGATAGGCTGTCACGTTAAAGTTTAAAATAGAAGCAGTATATTGGCTTTCACATGCTTGATACTCGATTTTTGCATATTGAGCATGTTGATACTTTGAACCATGATAATATCAAATCCAGACTTCTCTTGGTGAGAAAGAATCATTACAAGCTCTCCAAACATAATGAAAAGCTATGGCAATCCAAGAGAGAAACACATCCTCTTCTATATTACTCTGTAGAGAGGACAGTGTAATCAATAAAATCAAAAACAAACCCATCATTGGCTTGACATCTTACATGGTGTTTGGAAGCTTGGACGCTTTAAGGGACTGATTTTCAAGAAAAAACGCCCCTGCTTCCAAGACCCATTTTTCACAAAAAAATGCTTCTGCCATGTAGACAGAAGGCAACACTATGCTGTTTGGTAAGGAGATTTTCATTACCATTTTTCATGTATGTGCTGACAGGTAAGCACCACATAGGATACACATCAGTCAACCGTTGGGGGAAACAGTTCACCGATGTATGAAACGCCAAATTTGGCATTACATGCATCGGTGGGGTCCCGATTTTCGAGGCATGCCCGATTTTTTAATAATCGGCTGAACCAAACAATGAGATACATGGGCGTTTGTTGAAACGCCTATGTGGATCCGACGTGGCACCGTTTTTTTTTTTTTTGAAAAACGGCTACAGTTCCAAACATCCCCTTAATCCCTATGGGGGTGGCTTTCACCATGAGAAAAGCTTTTATCTTGGAGGGATCATCAATTTCCAAATTCTGTTATACATTTCAACAAGTCCTCTGATTTAGAACTTATATTCAACCAAATATTAAAACAAAATATCTACACAGTGAATTTCCCATATCTGTCTCCTACCCAATATATTCATCCTTCTGTCTGCTTTTCAAAACATGAGTATCCCTTGTGACAGATTCATTAAATTTTTCAACATTTTCTGCTGTATCCAACCACCTGTGATGTGATCAATAAAATCATGCACTTTCACATTCATTTGCTCAATTGATGGAGGACCCACATTCCTTTGCTCAATTGGCATATAATAGCTGCCATTATTTTAGACCCAAGGCATATTCCAAATATTTAGATCAGAGTTGATAGCAACTTGGCATGCTAAATCTTTCTGGAACCTCATTTAAAATACTCCCTATAGCTTTACAGGCATTAGAAGCTGATCTAATTCTCTTTTTGGGCACTTCATCATTGTGCATCACATATCTTGTTTTAAGCAACTTAACCCATATAGAATCAAGGGAGGTAATAAATCTCCCAGCAAGCTTGGGCAATAAAGCCAATGTTAATATCCTCAGTTTAGCAAAAAAAAAAAAAAAAAGCCCAAACCCCCAAATATTTTAGGAGCACACAAAACATCCCAAACAGCACATTTAAAACCATAATTGGAATGTTTTTTGTTCCACCAAAATTGTCTCCAAATTTTATCCATATCTAAAGAATCTTCTTAGGAAATTAAATTATGGGCATGCAATAATTTGAAATTGATTGCAAAACAGATTTTAATCAAAACCAGTGTTGGGTTACTGCCCAACACAGGAACTTCGAGGGAAGCTCAACCTCCTCAGAGAAAATGGAGAAAATTAACCATAATTAAACAAAACATAGTGCTACATCCAGATTATTTTCCCTTCTCATTCTTTTCAATGAAAATAATTCTCAAAATGTTACCTGCCATGCCTATAAGAAGCAGGGAAACCGATTCTATAAAGAAACCCCACCTTAACACAGCAAGTGAATAACCATCAAATAAAAGCCATCCGGCCCCCCCTCCGACTATGCCTGTCATATGCAGTGTTAAATTTGTCGACCAGCTCATTCATGGTGCTGCAAAACCATAAAAAAAATTTCAGTTATATAATTGTATGGTCATTGTCCCTTAACTATTTAAAAGAAGGAACTTTATTTATTTTCCCTTAAAACAAAAGGAATAAAGCCTATATAGTGCACCTCGAACAATTGGTCAACATGGCCAGGTATGTAATAAGTAGAGTGTCATTGTATTCCTGCAAAAAGGAGAAGGTGACTATTAGAATCCCAACTGTCAACTAAAACATGAACAGATAAGCAGCACTGATGCATCACCAGAATTTCTCTCATCATGAGTTTTGAATCTAAGAGTCCAAAATTACCAAAAATAAGTTCAAATTAAATTCAAGACCTGTTGCTGATTGTAGGTATAGAGAAACTGACCATCTGAAAATCATCTCGAAATTTCCCAGATTCAATTGCTGGTAATCTTCTCAGAAGGCTAGAAACCTGCCTCAATAATGAGTCCTCCAAAGGAATATCACCTGCCATTTCAACGAACTCCTATGACATTCAGCATCTATATATTGATATTAAAGTCAAATAAGAGTACCTCTTTGCATGGTGAGAAGATAATTATGAAGAACCCTGATTCTACTATTCAACATCTTGATGGAACTATGAATGCCAGTGAGATGCGCAGCCACTGCACCCAAAATAACAAAAAAAAAAAAAGAAAACATGAAATTCAGACTTTCACACACAGGGTTTTGCTTCATAAACAGAACACCACAAACAGAAATATAGGAAACATAAAGACACTTAAACCAGAAATCTCACACTGAGTTGCAGCTGATCCTCCATCAGATGGTTTAAGATGTGCAACATGATCAACTGAGATTCTTTCTGCCTCTACAGTCTTAAAATGAAGGAAATAATTCAGAAATACTAGGTTGCAATGAAAATATGACCAGTAACATCCACAAGAAGAGAAAGGCTTACCTCAATAGTGTAGCTTGAACGAACAAAAATCAGCTGAGGAATCCCATCTATTACATGCAACTCTTAAGTTGCAACAATCCATTCCCATTTAAAAATAAAGATCATTTGTCAGTATCAGTTCCAAAATAAAGTATCACTGATATACTTTTTTCCAATTTAATGATGATGATGACAACAAAAACAATAATGATGATAACAAGGTAGTGGATCAATCTGGCTAGTAGAATTGTTTAGTAAATGCTGAACATCCAAGGTATTTTCCTAAAAGCAAATTGGATTAGGGCTTAAACTGGCCCCACAGCTTCCCCCTCACAATTCAATTGTCTTGTTAGTGGAGCAAATTCAAACCCAGAAACCCTTGCCACCAGGCCAAAGTAACAAACAATTGCTTGGTTTTATACCTACAAAATTCTATCAAAGAAAGTATCCATCAATTATCCTCCAGCAATCATCCTATTACATTAATTTGAATTCATAGGGGAAAGATGCCACCAAACACAGTAGATTTTAATCACAAGCAATTTGCATACATGACCCTGGAGAAAAGAAGCAAATTGCATAATTTCCAGGTTTACATTAGTAACTTCTCCATAACATTGATAATTCTCATGGTTGACTTGAAAAAAAAAAGCATGCAATACAAAATGTCACATCTCACAAGCTGTTTGTAATAATAAGAAAAAGAGAATAGCTTCAACAAACAAGAACTTGTTCAACAAGAGATTCATCAAACAGCATTTCAAACAGGCCTGCATGGATAGATATTTTTAATCAGTTTTATTGGATAGACTATAAAATAATAATAATAGTGCAAGTCCACATACCACTTTCATAGATGGTCACAGGGAGGTCCTTTTGTGAATGATTGATAGCAGGATTGAGAATAACATAAACTGGGCTCTCATTAATATCCATCAACTGTAACGAAAAAGAACATTAAATAAACTCCATTCATTTACAAGAAATTGCCATTATGACTCAAACTCAAGCAGTATATCAGTCTACTTGGTACAATCTCATTCTAATACACAGGTAAAAGCACTTGTAGGCTGTGTCACAATAATAATGTAGTGTAGTGTTTATGACGGTGACTGGTGTGACCATGATATGGCAACAAGAGTCAAAAGATAGATAATGGTGCCAACGAGTAGTGACGATGGCATAATGGTGGTAGTGGGAATGACCAATGACAGAAAACGCAGAAGCTGATGCACCAACAAGAGGGGCTAGAGTTGGTAACATGGAGGGTGGAAGTGGGGGATTTTGTTGTTCTGTTCAGTGTCATACCCATCCTTAAACTATTGAGCACTGAAGTCATTTCTTATTACTTCCAACAAAGTCCCTTTTCAGTCTGCCCCTAACTCTTCTAGCCCCTTCAACTTGTAACTGATTACCTTTCCTAACAGGTGTTGTAGATGGTCTTCTTTGTCACCTATTGGAGCTACTCCTAGGCTCCTTTTTATGACTTCATTTCTAACCCTTCCCTTCTAGTTTTACCACTCATCCATCTAAGCTCTCATTTCCACCACACTCATCTTTTGGACATGTTGTTTCTTAACTGCCCAAAACTCTACTCCATACAACATAACTGGCCTTACCACTTTAGTATTTTCCTTTTAGGTGAAGTGGTATTCGCACACAAGACCTGGATGAACCTATCCATTTTGCCCATCCTACTCTAATTCAATGGGCAACATCCTCTTAAATCTCTCCTTTGTTATGAAAAACATCATATCTAATGAGTTGGGAAAATTAAGGGGAAAATGCAAAGATGGATTTCCAAGGCAATGCATATGTATTGGTCACTCCAACATGCCACCCCATAAGAGGCTCAACCATGAATGCTACTTATCTTACGCCACAAGTTATCCTAATCCAGGAGGTACCACTATACCACTTACCTAACAAAACCTGATTTATTTGCACTAGTCTACCCAACACAAAGCCACTGTTTTAAAAGCGAAAGGCACAAAAAAAAAAAAACAAAAAACCACAAGGGTCAATTTGCGCCCGAGGTGCAAGGCGCAAGGTGAGGTGCACACCTTTTTGAAGCAAGGCAGGAAATTGCAAAAAAAAATTCAAAAAACAAAAAATGCAAAATATTAAAATATTAAACACATTATTAATAAAAATATAAACTTAAATTTTAAAATAAATGCTTTAAAAATACATATTATCTCAAATTAAAATACATAAACATAACATGTAAAACATATTTAAAATAAAATCAAGCATAACATATAAAACATATTCAAGCATGTAAACTCTTAAGAATAATGAATGGGGTTCTCTCCGCTCTGGTCCTAGCTGCTATAACATAAAAACAAGTCCATAGGGGTTCTCTATGCTCCTATCCCAGCTGCTAATAACACACACACACAAAAAAAAAAACAGAAAACAGAAAAATGCACAAATTTTGAAAAGGCACACCAAGCGCACGCCTTTTGGAAATACTCCGCCTGGGACCTCGCCTCACCTATGCACCTAGTCAGGTGCGCCTTTTAAATCACTACACAAATCCACTTTATCTCTTGTCCCCACTTATTGTCTGCCATTTAATGAGATGATCTCTTTTTGATTCCCTCGGTCCCCATAAGAAAGGGTTGTAACATTTTCCAATTCCTAATCCTAACATCCTATAAATTTCTTCTAAACCTCAGTGTCTAGACCACTTTCCCTCTTACTACTTCATACATTTGTCCAATTACAACCTCCTTATCACCAGCCATTGGATATAGACTTAGGTATAACTCCTTCAAAGGCTTGCCATCACACCAAGCATCAAATTAGAAACTTACACACATTCCCCTACACAGCATTTTATCCCTTTGATTTAACTGTTGTAACTCTAAGGAGCAACCATAGGACATGGTTACTCCTTTAGGATCTCAGCCATGGTTACACAAGCCAACATAGTAATTTGCCTTCATAGTGTCTTTGTTTCTAATATTGATTCTTCAATATCACTTCCCTAGCATGGCCATATTCACCACTCTAAATCTTACTAATCCCCAAATGGAGAATAAATTTCCCCAATGCCACAAAATGGATCTTGTTCTCATCCCTGCAACCTCTTCAAAGTCTCATGGTTTTTTCACATTCCTTGCCACCTTTGCAAGAATAGGGAGCAATGATAGAAAATAGGAAAGAAAATATGATAATGTATTTTTAATCAAAGTGATCTTATCCAATCTGGATAAGTAATTGGCTTTCCAAAGCCGCTTCACCCATTCCACCATTGTCTCCTGCCAAAAACTACTTTGAACAACCTAAAAATACCAAGAAGACTGCATAGCAGATCTGTGCTACCTTGAAAAAAAAATAGTGTATCATCTCCAAATTGAAGAAAATCAACTCTAGTTCCCCTCATCATTCACTAAAAAACCTTCTAAAATCCATCCTTTCTGCTCATTTTGTTAGCTCTTGAGGGGCAAGCAAATGAGGAGGCAATTCTAATATGGGGAGTTTGGAAAATAAAAGCTTTGCTAGACAAACAAATGCAGTAGATATCAACAAAGGGCTGCCATGTGGGATTGTTGCTGTCAGAGAGAGTGGTTGAAGGTTATGCAAGAGAGAGGCCCCAAGTGAAGAGGGTTGGATATGGTCACCAGAGAACAAGAGGATGATAGAGCTACCCAACCTGACACGAAACGGTGCAAGTGAAACTTGCAAAGAGGCAAGGCTGTTATACTAGAGCAGAGGAGAAGGAATATAAACCATAGATCTCCCATAGCTAGAAGGGAGAAAGGGCCACATATGAGAGGCCCAGATCAATACAGGGGAAGTTTTGAATTCAAATCCAAAACCCTTGCAAATCAGCTAGTTGTCAAAGAAGGGGAGCTTAATGAAGCTATTGCAAATCCAGTCAAAAAGCTTTCTGATTCAAGCCAACTGGTGGACCAAACCATCCTCCGGTCCTACCAAGCAAACCAACAATCAACCTTAGCCAATCTCTAGAGGCTTAGAAACTCCAACACTATAGAAGGAAATATTGGGACTTRTCCCAAGTAAAGGTAAGGAAAGTTTTGGTAGAAGAGAATGAGGATTTGACTAAGTCATTAATGACAATACTTGTGGAGCAAAGCACCTATCAACTAGAGAAAGGTGAATACTCATGGAGGCAATCGATCATAGTGTTGCAAGTTATAGAGAAAGGGGGAAGCTTAGAGGCTCATGGAAATCCAAAAATATCCCAAAGGAAGATCAAACACAAAGGCTCATTTAGCAAAAGCATATGGAGGAGAAGAGGAGAGAAATTAAGCTCTCATCCCATGCAACATTGGCCAAGAACATACCTTTGAAACCAAACTCATTAAGAATCAAAACATCCTTGAGTTAATGTTGGCTGAAAAGGAACCTATACTCCGAATGAGAACTCCATTGTCACAACTGAGCCCCAAGCAATGGTGAATCCAAAAAATAGAAACCATAAATTAACAAGATTGGAAGCATGATCACACCCCAATGAATGTTGTTGTTCAGGTGTTCACGGGAGGTATCGGCCCAGGTACTCTCCAATCTTCTCGGTTTTGGAGAGTTTTTGGGAGTTTCCCCTGTTGGTAGCTATAAAGCAAAGAGCATTAATGAAGAAAGGCAAACAAAACCGCAAACATGAAAAGGAACTTTTCTGATTAGGGCCTCAATGAGAAAGCAGTGGCACCCCAGAGTTGGGAAGGGAGAGAAGTTTGTCCTAAACGATGAGCAACCTAAAATATGTCTCTTGAGGTATTCGGGGTCTAGGAGTGAGGACGAGAATGGTGGCATGTGCCTAATTAAAGAAATGGGATCTAGATATCTTATTGCTTCGAGAAACAAAATTGCAAAATATGGATTTGTCTATGATCAAAAGCTTATGGGGTTTTAAGGCTTGTGACTAGATTTTTAGTCCAGATAATAACTTGGTAGGTGGAATCACAATCGTATGGGATAACAGTTGTTTCAAGATTGTAGATAAGGTGGAGAGCCTTTTTTCTCTTACAACCCGTTTGGAATCTAGGCAAGATATTCAAAGGTAGAATTTGATTGACCCTCCCCTGTTAGGTACCAAATTCTCATGGACAAATAACCAGTGCCCCTCTTCATCGGTTAGATCGGATAGATTCCTGGTCTCAACTTAGAAGGGCTGCCTATCCCTTCCTCCCTCCCTCTCTCTCTCTCCCTATCTGATGGGGGACCAAGTAGACAAGATCAAGATTGATCTGCATAAAGTAGCAATAGATCTTAGGGATATCAAGGAGACTGGCCACGGTTATGACCATATGGGAGCAAATGACACAAGAAAGAAGCTGGGATAGCAAAAATGAAGGTTCGAGTCAAGGAAAGCTAGACTTCCATTTTATGCAGCAAAAGACCTAGTGGTTGATGCATCTAGATTTTGTTTGGAAAGTGGAGGAATGGTGGAAGGAGGATTTAAGGGGGATAAGGTGGGAGGGAATCAAATTCCATAAGAAATTGCAAAGATTGAGATCTAAAATAAAGGAGTGGAATAGGGATCATTTTGGAAGGTTAGAAGAAAGGAAACTGACTATCATTTCTCAAATTGAAAGTTGGACAATGTGGAAAGTGAGAGAAACCTCCATGCGGAAGAGAGGGAATTCAGATGGAAATTAAAGAAAGAGTTAGAGGAAGTCCTTAAGAAAGAGGAAATATCCTAGAGACAAAAGTCAAGACATAAATGGATGAAGGAAGGGGATGGGAATACAAAGTTCTTTCATGCGATGGCCAATGGAAGAAGAAGCAAAAACTTTATGGCTAGGTTGGAAATCAATGGAGAGTTGATCTCGAGTCAAAATGAAATTGCCAAAATTTTTGTGGACCACTTTAAATCCTTTTACAGGAGACCTTTGGAGGATAGATCGAGCTTAGAAGGATTAGAATGGCTAGAAATAGATTTTGAGGAAGAGGAAATAAGAAAGGTA